AAACTACCAAGTGTTGTTGGAGGTGAACTACCAGCTAATAGGACAAATTGTCCATCATTCTCATTCAATCTCCATCTAACAGTTCCACCATTAACAGTTGCACAAGTAAACACCAGTTCATCTCCAGGACACACAGTAGAAGGTGACTGCTCATATGCTATAATGTCACATAAAATGATGATATTTAGTAGATTTATACAAATTTACCTGATACAACAAGACTGATGTATCCAGTCAACACAAGACACCAGTAGATACCAGTAGCAGTAGCCATTAGTAAGAGGAATGAGAACTGAACAGTTTATACTGTTAGAATATATAAACAATGAACTGTTGTCATTGTTTGCAAGTTAGAACAAAATTTGATTATGTTATGCTGCTCAACATCACATGATGATGTTTGTGCATTTTTCATTATCAACAAATGAACAGGATATAACTATCACCAAAACTAGACTAGTGAGAATATTACTATTACATCATAATTCGTCCATATGCATTATTATTATGTACATTAATTATATCTTTATTAATCACTGGTCTATCATAAGCAGTATTAGCCTGTAGTTCCATTGGTGTATCATATATTGGTACTCCGGCAGTAGTAGTAGTTGGTTTAACAATGATCTCATCATATGTAGGAATAGCTACTGCATCAGTACTATATAGGTTTGATAATACATAAATATAGATGTAAACTTGCTTTTTAGATATTTTTTGCCTTTTTCCTGTATACATATAGCAAAATAGCAATAATCAAAAGTGATTATAGTAATCATACTTACTTCTTTGTTTCTTGATTGTCAGTATCACTAACACCAATATAATAATTATTATTATAACAAATACTGTTCCAATAGCTCCTGATATAATAGGAACAGCATTAGAACCAGTAGTAGTAGTTGATACAGTAGTTGATGATGAAACTGGTGTATTCATACTAGTAGTACTAGTTGATGTGCCAGTAGTTGAAATAAAGGATGATGATTGTTCATCAATTGTTGAAGACACTGTAACTATTATTGCAACAATTAATTAATGGTAGATAATAGTTATACTTACTTAAAGTAGGTGGTACATGTATTGATGGTGTACTAGTACTTATATTAGATATCTAATGTAACTAATGATAATTAATATGTATTAATGAATAATGTATAACTATTACAGACCTGATGACGTAGGTACAACTGAACTACTGGTCATTGTAGGAATTATTCCGACTATGAATGACTTAATTAATTAATTATACTTAATAATTATTATAATCATACCATTAACAGTAGCTGATGGTCCATATCCAACAATATTAATAGGAATGATAGTAACATAACATGGATCCACTTCATGATTGCGATGAATATTAATACTATTGCTATATGTAATATTATTATCATTCAGTACACTTATAACATAGTACAGTACTGGTGGATAAAATGATAAATTATCCTATTTATATATAATTAATAATACATATCATTATGGTTAACATACTTCATTGATATTCCACCATATTGTAATACTATCAGTTGATATCTGATCCCAACTAATATTAACAACTTGAGCTGGTACTATAAGAAATACAATGAGTGTGTGTGTGTGTATAGTACTTACCATTCCATATATACTGTATTAATGAT